TTTCTGACAGATGTACTCCCAAAATGTTTTATTTTCCCCAGGTATCTGAAACCACATCAGATATGTCTTAAGATTATTTTACCTAGTATGTTAAGGAAGAATTTAAGAAATCCTATTATCTGAGACTTCCCAAACAGAATCTCTCTTATCTACAAATGCTTTGAAAAGTTAAGCACTTTTTTGATACTCAGAGATTAAAAGGTATAATAAGATTCTGATCTGATAATCCTCTGTATGAAATCAATCTCAGAAAGCTAGGTGTTTTTCATGCTTAAAAATGATTTTTCATGACTTTCAATGCCATACTGCCCGATACTTCTAACTTACTCTGAAGATATTTTAATTTTAATATTCTGCAAAAGCATTGTTTGAGGATAGAAAGGGAGGAGATTTAAAATGTTACGCTAAGTTAGCTCAGTTTATAATACTCTGTGTTACTTATTCTATGAATTATTGGCATGGACATCCAAGCCAATAAAGTTTAATAAACAACATATACAATAACAATCACACTAACTTTTCTTATTAATTCCCAGGTAATTCCAAATTCATTGATGAACACTGATCTAGCAGCTTAATTCAGCTTAATTATTTCTTGAAAACTATTATGGTGCCTTTGGATAGTAAAACATAACAATAAAAGAAAGTTCCCGCTCAGAAAGTTTGTTGTTCAGTTGCTAAATCATGTCTGACTCTTCGTGACCCCATGGACTGCAGCACACCAGGCTTCCCTGTCCTTCACTATCTCCCGGAGTTTGCTCAAACTCATGTCCATTGATTGAGTCAATGATGCTATCCAATCATCTCATCCTCTGTGGCCACTTTCTCCTCCTGCCCTCAATCTTTCCCAGCATCAGGGTCTTCCCCAATGAGTTAGTTTTTCACATCAGATTAGAGCTTAAGTTCAGCTCAGAAAGTTTATAATTAGGCAATTCTACCATTTATAAAATTTATGAAGTTTGCTGTACGACTGTTCCCTTTCTGCGTAAACTCAAATTCAAAGAAAAGAGTAACTATTTTATGGGTTTGGGGGTATATCAGCTACCTCCAGATACTCAAGAGGAATACCCATGAGGTTTTCAAGAAAGAAAATAGAAAGAGAGCAGAGAATGACAGTAACACAGATTCCCTAGTTTCCAAAAGAACTAAGGGGCTCATGACTAACATCTCAAAAAACTGAGGCTGGAGTTGGGCACCTGGGAGACCACTTTTCATAGAAAACTCAAATCTATTCTTGAAGTCCTGATTAGCAGAAATGGCAATATTCACTTAAAATATAAAACATCTTAATAACATTTAACTTTGAAAGCTAACCTATACAACTCTTTTCTGACATACAACTTAGATCAGGAAAACTGGAACAGTTACATTAGAATTAGTTATGCTTTCTTATTTCAATGAAACATCACAGATATTCAATATGTAAAGTACAAGTGTACAGACAGGATCAATAAGACTTAGAGCTATATTAAACACACACAAAATTCCTACAATGTTTATTAACCTCCATGCAGTAAGATTTAAGAGCTATACTACACACACACACATACACACACACCACACCCTTACAATGTCTATTGATTAACCTCAATGAAATGTATAACTTCAGGTCACCAAATGGGTGGTAAATTAATACTGATATTTTATCTACCCTGGGTGGTATTGCTTAAAAACTGTAAAAAGGGCTGAGAAGTTTGATATTCCAAACTGTCCTGGGACGTTGTCTAACATCCATTATAACACCTTCAAAATATCTATATAGTGATCTTGGAACTTAGCTAGGTGATGACAATGTATAAGTACAAGATGACAAGATAATATATAAATGAGAAGTGTTTTGTTTTAGAGTTGGCCTACTACAACAAATTAATCATGGACAACCTGCAACAAATAAGCCCTAAATAAAAATGAAGTCATAAAACATCAATAACAAACTGACAGTTTCTACTAAAATTAAATAAGAACAAACCAATATTAGTAGAAAATGGAATTAGGAGGGCTGAGAAAAAGTGGTAAAATAAGCTTTGGACTTAAAGGTTTACAAGATATGATGGCAAGCATGAAATATATGACTTATCAGTTATCCAGCTTAGCTTCTAAGCAATTTCATCTGTATTAATCTCATGTAGGAACTCATTAAAATTAGTGACAAAGACTAAACCATCACATGGTTCTAAGTTATAATTGGTAGAGAAATGACAGTTCTAATAAGCTAAACATATATGCCAAATTAAATGGTGATATGTACAGAGAACTGTGGTGTGGTAAATTCAAATACATCAAACTGAAAGCCTGGGGATAGAAGAAATGCTGATTGGTTGTATTGACTTGATTAGTCAGCAAACTATGGCCCAATCCAGAGGACCCATGACTGTGTGGATCACAATAAACTCTGGAAAATTCTGAAAGAGATGGGAATACGGGATCACCTGACCTGCCTCTTGAGAAACCTGTATGCAGATCAGGAAGCAACAGTTAGAACTGGACATGGAACAACAGACTGGTTCCAAATAGGAAAAGGAGTACGTCAAGGCTGTATATTGTCACCCTGCTTATTTAACTTATATGCAGAGTACATCATGAGAAACGCTGGGCTGGAGGAAGTACAAGCTGGAATCAAGATTGCCGGGAGAAATATCAATAACCTCAGATATGCAGATGACACCACCCTTATAGCAGAAAGTGAAGAGGAACTAAAAAGCCTCTTGAGGAAAGTGAAAGAGGAGAGTGAAGAAGTTGGCTTAAAGCTCAACATTCATAAAACTAAGATCATGGCATCTGGTCCCATCACTTCATGGGAAATAGATGGGGAGACAGTGGAAACAGTGGCTGACTTTATTTTACTGGGCTCCAAAATCACTGCAGATGGTGATTGCAGCCATGAAATTAAAAGAGACTTACTCCTTGGAAGGAAAGTTATGATCAACCTAGATAGCATATTAAAAAGCAGAGACATTACTTTGTCCACAAAGGTCGGTCTAGTCAAGGCTATGGTTTTTCCAGTGGTCATGTATGGATGTGAGAGTTGGACTATAAAGAGGGCTGAGCGCTGAAGAACTGATGCTTTTGAACTTGGTGTTGGAGAAGACTCTTGAGAGTCCCTTGGACTGAAAGTAGATCCAACCAGTCCATCCTAAAGCAGATCAGTCCTGGGTGTTCATTGGAAGGACAGATGTTGAAGCTGAAAACTCCAATACTTTGGCCACCTGATGCGAAGAGCTGACTCATTTGAAAAGACCCTGATGCTGGGAAAGATTGAGGGAGGGAGGAGAAGGGGACAACAGAGAATGAGATGGCTGGATGGTATCACCGACTCAATGGACATGGGTTTGGGTGGACTCCGGGAGTTTGTGATGGACAGGGAGGCCTGGCGTGCTGCGGTTCATGGCATCTCAAAGAGTCAGACATGACTGAGCAACTGAACTAACATGAACTAAGAAATGATTTTAAAGATAAATATTTGCCCTCAATTCGAGGCTATGAAACACTGACTTTGAACCATGATTAAGAGAATTTTCACATGCTCCTCAAAAGAAACTCATTCTTCTAATCAATAGACTTGCACTCAATTATTACATTAATTTGAATTTCATCAATGAAAAATTTGTGAAAATTTGTTTTTCTGTTTTCTGTCCTGTTTTGTTTTCTGTTCTGTATCTCAGACATCCGTGACTTCCATTTTTTGCCGACAAAGCCTAAAACGTTTTATCTAGCCCTTTACAGAAAGTTTGCCAACTCCTGTATTAGAATACTAATTTGAATAATAACAAAGAATACAAAGGCTTTTAGGAAACAAGAAAACCAAATTATCCGAACTTAGATCTGAGTGTAGGGTAGGAATCAGGAAGGATGCAGATCTGCTGAACTAAGCTGAAAGCTTCAATCTGAAACTGAAAGATGAGTTACCAAAAAAAGACGGCAAATAGCAGTGATCTCAGGTACAAATCATAAAGAAACTATATGGATAGTAAGGAAGATTCATGATCACACACGGTGTTTTCAATCACACTTGCACACATTGATACCTAGCAAAATCATTTTTTCAAAAATATTTTTGCAAATCAAGTACAAGGATTTTAAAACAACTTAATCACAGTCCAGGAAATAACCAGTAAAAGTTAAAAAGAACCAACAAGGACATACTGTACAGCACAGGGAAATTTGCTCAATACTCTGTAATAACATAAATGGGAAAAGAATTTGAAAAAGAACTGATACATGTATATATATAAATGAATCACTCTGCTGTGCCCAGAAACCAACGCAACAGTGTTAATCAACCATATGCCAACATAAATTTTTTAAACAATAAAAAAATAAATACTTAAAAACAAAAACTCTTGAGGCTTGCTCAGCCCAATAAAAACTAAATTCAAGCTGTCCAGATATAGAACAGGATGCATTCCAAAGTAGCGATATGATGCTTGAAGTATTCAAGAAAACACTGAAAAACCATCTCCCAGGAATGTAACTAAGTAGGTTCTCTCATTTGATGGAGAATTGGGATGAACAAAACCGTTAAGGAGATTTTCAATTTTCCACTTCTATGAAACATTTGGAAAATCAAGACTAAAACCCAATAGAAGGTAGGTGTTGCTTCAGAAGACAAACTAAGCTTATAATCAACCATCTAGTGGTCTGAATATAGAGACACTAGATATTTCTAATGGGGGAGGTTTGAGAACTTATTTAAGAGATCAATATTAAAAGCTTTAAAATCTTAGTGCTTCTATTCTCAAGAGATAATATCCAATATCCAAGATAATAATACTTTCTATGATGTTGTTAACAAAGGTTTTGACAGATCTAATAAATAAAATTATATTAAACCCATATGTAAAAATTCTGCTTCTATCAAGTGGTCTAGTCATACATACTCATTTTTTCATTTTATAAATATTTAAATACTGACTAAATATAAGCATCTCCTAAGTGCTCAGCAGAGTATTACGAGCAGAGCACATAGTGAACAAAACCAGAAAACAGACACAGTTTCTCACCTTGATTATTTCTACCAATTGATCCACACCACTGTCTCCTGGAAATATTGGCTGTCCTAGCAACAGCTCAGCTAACACACAGCCTGCAGACCATACATCTGAAGAGAAAAGAAAATAAGAGCTTATTAATATTACACTTTGTAGCTTATGTTGTGTTAAAAACTGATACATTTTCTAATTTTACTTTGATCAGAATGAATACCATAAGGAAAAGATTGTATAACCCAAAACAAGGGAAAAGTCATCAAATAATCCTTAATAGATTTTAAAATTGTGTTAAACTTACTAAACATGAAACAGGGCGATAAGAATATTCTAATTAAGGGTAATATCTTTATTATATGTAATATCTACATTAATTATCCAGTATCAGATGTTCAAGTCTTCAACAACCAAGACAAAGATTATAGTATGAAAGCATAGAGCATGATTATTTACTTATTATACTTAAAAATAAGTGAAGTGATACAATCTCTGCACATTAGCAGGTGCTTATAGAGAGTAACAAGAAGGGTTCAATCTCCTATACACAGGAGAGTAAGCCAAATGTAAATTTCAGAAAAAGAAAATTTTAATATTTTAAATGGCTAACTTTTGTCTTATAATATAACTGACAGAAAATGTGCTTAAATATATGAATATTTGAAATGCAAAGACAGAAGAATACATTGTATTTTACAAATTACAAAATATAATTCACTTTTGAGTCAAGTAAGAAACCTCATTTTGACAGAAAGCTTAAATAAATTTTAAAGATTTATAAATAAATTTACAAAAGGAAAAAATAAAGCATATATCCTGGCTTACCCACAACAGTCAGTCCTGGTCTAGATGACTTCCTGTGATAATAATGAAAGCATCCCCTTTATCTCTTAAAAGTATTACCAAATGGAAAGATACATTTTATGGGCACTTTATTTAGAGCCCACTACTTAAGACCTACTGCAAAAAAAAAAAAGCGCTAATTTTCTGGATTCCTGGGTTTTGTATGAACCAACAAACAATGGCTTTAGAGAGATGAACATAAATTGTCACTGGGCTTTCCATCTATCAGTAGGGAAGGAGAAAAATGACTAATGGCATGTGTGACAACAAATAATTTAATCATTTTAACGCTGTAAGATGCACTATCAGAAGAATTGGAAGCTAACACAATACTGTAAATCAGCTATCCTCCAATATTAAAAAAAAAAAAAAGAATTGGAAATCCTTGCTCCAATTAACTACTTTTTACTGGCCGAGCAAATAATGACACAAAATTCATTTAAGAAATTCAAGTTGATTTTGCCCAGCTACTCTTCTAACATCATTGTTAAAAAATGCTTCTAAAATGTATTTGTATTAGTAACCTTTTAAATATCTTTTTGTTTACAAATCTTCCAGAGTCTTAGGAAGCAAGTATCCTATATCTAAACAGGGAGGCCAAATCTAGGCTTGAGAGGGTTCAACGGCCCCAGCTGCATCAGTAGAGTATGGGGAATCCTAAATCTAGAAAGTCAGAATCTGGTTTTAGGAGATTTACTTTACTTTAGACAAGTAAATGTGAAGGAGACAGCTGGAAAGCAGGTACTCGTAACATCCAAAAAACAGATTCCTAATAGAGAAAACATACTACACTGGCCCTTCTTTTGTGAGAAGATTCCCAAAGAATTGCTAAGCACATGGACATTTACAGAAGTAATAAACTCTTAAGAGGGTCAAAGGTTTATATAAATATGCCTTAATATGTCAGATGATATTATCATCACTTTTTAGAAAGAAGCAAACCACATTTATTTTAGGTGAGGCTGGCAGAACTCACCCCAGTATGAATCTCATTTCTGGTATGCAGATGATTAATTTCATATATGTGAATGAAATATAAAGCATCTAGAAAATCCAAAGACTGTCCAAAGATTAAGGGCTGAAATTTGCTCTTTGGGAAGAGTCAAGTTAACACATACCACAAAAAGAATACCACTTTTTCTACAGTACTTTCACTAACATTTTATTTAATCCTCATGGCCACTCAGAAAGGTAAGCAAAACTGTTACTAATCTTTTTTACAGTTTAGCTAAGTAGTAATAAACCTGGAATTCAAATTCAGGTCTACTCTAACCAAAATATCCCTTTCACTATTTCTCATTTGATCCTGAATAGAAGAGGCCATGTAACATAGCCATGATGAAACTCTGAGCATTATAAACACACACACACACTCTCTCTCTCTCTCATACTCTATCCAGTGGAGTAGGACACACACATACTCACTCACTCACTCACTCTATTATACTCTATCCAGTGCAGCAGGTCTCAAAGTATGATCTGCAGAGCCCTGAGCCTCCTGGACCTTTTCAGAGGTCCTGAGGGAAAAGTTATTTTCATAAGAACCCTCAGATGTTATATGTTTTCACTATGCTGAGATTTGCACTGAGGGTGCAAAAGAAATGGTGGATAAAACTGCTGGCCTCTTTGCACAAATAAAAATGTTCCTTGGCATTTTGCCCTTTGGCAAAAAAAAAAAAAAGCTACTATTAGTAATAAACTGTGTAGAGGTCTTTGTTCATATTAGAGAATTTTAACTTGTATAAAAAACAAATTGTCCAAGTTCTGATTTTTCCTTGACTTTCTGTTATTGTGGGGTTTTGTTTTTTGTTTGGTCTTTGTATGCTTTTGTTTGTTTTTGGACTAAGGAATTCTCTTCAAAAACAACATATAACAATAAAATAAACTACCTGCATGCCTAAGATTGTTCCTTTCTTAGCTTCCTATTCACATCCAACTGTTCAAACTCTGTACGTTCACTTCTGCTAGTGGGCTAAACAAGGCAAAAGAGGTGGTCAACAAAGAATGAAGCAAACTGTCTACTCGATGCCTTCTATCCGTAAAGATCTGTGACAACTGCTGCAGAACCAGTGAGTTTATTCAAACTACTAATGAACAAGTTAGTAAATTTTTTAAAGCTGATTTAAAATTAAATAATCAACTGAGTCAGCACAGTATGAGTGTCAGTAATATGGTAATCCTATCACTTTAATCATAAACTTAATGGATGAAAATTCTCCAACTGGTGATCAAGCTCAGAGAGAACTATTTCAGGGGAATTTTTTAAGTGAAGAAAAGGTATACTTAGAATTTATTTAAAATTTTAAGTTTAAAATAACTGTAATCTTAAAGAAATCATACAATCACAGAAGAGTAGCTTTATTATTCTCTCATAATCTAAGAAACCTAAAAGTAGAATAGTAAATATATTTTAAATTCTATACATTTTTATATATAAATCTTTAAGAAGAAACATATTTCAAGGCATATTTATCTTTATATTTAAGTATAGATTAGTACTACTAAATTACTAAAAACAAGATACAATGCATAATTACAAGCTATTATATTTAGATACAGTACTTACCTATACTAGAGGTATAATCAGTGGCTCCAAAGATCAACTCTGGTGCCCTATAGTACCGAGAACAGATATACGAAACATTGGGTTCTCCACGGACCAGCTGCTTTGCACTAATAAAAAAAAATCAAAAGCAGAAATTCTTTAAATTACATCTAAACCATAAAAGAACCTTAACTGCTATCATTTGCAATACAATATTTAATCTAAGGGTCCCAGAATTCCAATCATGCAATATATAAAAAAAGAAAATATGAGCCATAACTATCTCTAACAAAAGAAACATAATTTTAACATATCACTCTGAAAAAAAAAATAGTAACTTTTAAAGAATGCATTTGCCAACTGTCACTTGAAGAAAAAGTTTTTAAAAAATCAAAAAATGATAAATGTTGAATTTCTTCTGCTATCTTCCCCTGAATTTCACTCTAAAATACAAAGAAAGAAGGGCAGAAATATAAGAGGTACCTCCCCTCACCAAAAAGCACTGTAATTGATTATACGAATGAATACTGCTTACCCAACATGTTTTTTTAAATGGGTAAGAAATTGGCCACTCTATTAAAATTTGACTTCTGATTCAGAGTGAGTATCCCATGGCTTGCAGACCCAACCTACTTTATTTTTTCCACCATTTGGTCAATTTATTAGATGTCTTAACATCTGCTATCCAATAAAAAAGATAGGTCCTTTCCTGTAGGGCAGAGATAATTCACAACCTATGAATTCTAATTCCACTGTTGCAAATCATTAACAAATCACATACTCTCTAATTCAACTTTCCTCTCCAAAAAAGGAGAGGCATGTATTTTAAATATTAAATTAAAATTAGTTTCTTTTGAAATGTCTCAAAATAACTTGAAGACACACTGCAATAAACTGCTATAGAAGCTAACCATTTTGACTTACAATAATAGGAAACATAAACTCAGGAAGTAAATACAAACAACAAAATCAAAATAGTAAAAAATAAAGTAACAAAAAAGGTAAAAAAAAATCTTTTAAGACAAAGGTGCAAGAAAATCAGAGTAGAGGCAGATGAAAACAGTCACAAAGGTTTCAGTTTGGGCTGTCTTTTCTTCCATTTATTTCTGTTCTCTGATAACGCTGACCATAACCTGATCTTTCTTCATCACAAGTTTTGAAGGTGGGAGACAGTTTATCGACATACAGCAACCATTTCATAAATTAATAAATACTAGTCCCTGTTTTAGGCTGTATGAAAATTAAGACACTTTCATAGCATAACTGATAAAAGTTTCTACCTTATAAAGGATTTATTAAATTAACAAGACAGATTCCAATTACACTGTCATAAAATTCACTATAAGATAAAGGTAATATTAGAAATACCACAGCCTATAGATTTTTTTCACTACATGATGGAGCTGCCTTCAAAGTGTATCCCAAACTTTACTTGCTCAAACTAGACGTTTTTAAAAACAAAACAGTAGCTCTGTTATGAAAGCCATTAAAAGTGAACTATTCTTACGACAGAAGTGAAATCCCTATCCCAAACATATTATAACAAAGTGATTTTTATATCCCAATAAAACTCCCATAGCAACACTGTTCTAAAACTATGGTGAGAACAGAAACTCCTAACTTGGTATCTCAAAAATATTTTTACAGTCCACACCAGTCAGTCACTCTCAAGCAGGGGAAAGACATCCCATAACAATAAAATTCATCTGATTTGGGCATTTGATCCTACAGATACTTGTTTCAAGCACCAAATAAGAGTTTTTGATTTAAAATCCTTTACCCATTTTTAACAGTCGAAGGAACAGTTAAGAGTCCTGCAAAATGAGTTGGATCCTGTGATAGATGTCTGAAATTAGAAAACTGTAAAAAGGAGATGATCTAAAATAACATTTTTGTGAGACTAAGAATTAACTCATGACAAAACAGATGTGCTTTTTTTTTTAAAGACTTTTTCCCAAGAGACAACCTGTGGAAAATACATACTATATTAAAACCAAAATTTAATCTGTGGGTTGATATAAAAAGCGTTACAAAGAAGAAGGAATACCAATATTAGCAGGTGTGGGTCAATATCTATAAGCAGCTGAAATGGAAAGCAAGCATTTGCGAGGATGAAAAAAACTGGAGAGTATTCAAGACATATGCTGTCTTAGGGATTACAAGAAGAGAGAGTACTCTGGGTGATTACACTAGAGAGGAAGTGAAAGTTTAACTGCCTGAGTTACATGTGGATACAGGCTTGATTTCATGTTGAAAGGTCAGATCAGAGAGGCACAAAATGCTCAACTATAAAGATGAAAAAGATGAATTCTTATTACATTATATGTTTTTCCAAGCAATGCATTTAAGAAGAAAGAAAACTGTAACCTGCAATAGAGAAGAGAGAAATAAACTAAATTGTAGAGGAAAAGGAGAAAAACACAGCTACTAAGCCTTTGACCTCATCTCTAAATTGAGATTAACTCAATACACAGTTAACATAATACACAGTAAGGTATAATAATATTTTTTTTTAAAATAGTTCTTACTGAAAAAGGAATATATACACATAATAAATGGGAACAATTTCTAGGCGTTAAAATTGCTGGGTGGAAAGACTATACACACTTATAATTCTGAGAGAATTTAACAAAACTACCCTCACAAGAAACTGCACTAGTTGATACTCCCTGAATAAGTGTAACGAAAGGTAACTGAAAGAACAGATAGGGTAGAAGGGTGGGGTTGAAGATTAGAGAAGGAAGGAAAAAGAGAGCTAGTTTACCTTCCAAAGTCACAGAGTTTCAAGACAGCTGTATCAGGATCCAACAAGAGGTTCTGTGGTTTAATATCCCGATGGCAGATTCCAAAGGAATGGATATAGGCTAAACTTCGGAACAGCTGATACATATACAACTGGAATAAAGAGTAAACATTAATTAAATACTTACTTTCTATCCCAAACAACTCAGAATCTTTAAGCAGGAAACACAGTAATAGATTTCCAAAAAAGAACAAGTGAAATGCTGGGGATTGTTAGCTCTCAATCTTTCTTTAGCAAGCTTCATGGCATTTCTCTATCAACTAGCTAATTATAGTTTAGTTAACCAATGTTATATTTGTAACATCTATGTATAACATCTTTTAACAACTTAAAAAAGGAAATTTTACAATTTGCTTTTGTAATTTTTCATTTTACTAGCCACAAGACTGTTTTTTTTCCCTAAGCACAAATTTAAAAACTCAGAGGGATATTCCAAATCGTATGACTACTAAGTAACAATCAGACCATAAGTTAGTGTTCTGTTTGGTTTTTTTCCCCCCCAATTCATCATCCTTTGTCAGGCCCAGAGGTTATTGATACAGAAGTCTGGGAAAATTCACGTGTGAACTGAGAAAATCTATAATCAACGATCTATTCAAGACATCAGTAAATCTATTAACAGCATCACCACTCTTCTGTTAATATCATTCAGAATTCAGTAGACTTCAAAATGCCATTTAAAAGCATATTTGAGATGACAACTGACATCAGTCAAAGAAAAGAAATTCAATTTTATTACAAAACAAGATACACTGAAAAACTGGGTCTGTGTCAAAGAAAGAAATAGACTCTTGACTGGTGAAAAGGGGGTCTTGTGTAAAGAACATGAGTGTATCTTAAACTGTCTATCTGTTTCAAGGTTGGTGTTCTGGTTCACTTATAAATTTTTCTGACTACTCACCTTCTTACTTCTAACCCAAAGTTATATACCATGAAAAGAACTTTTGAAATGATTCAAATCAAAGATATCAGTGTCTTGGTGAAAAACTACAAAAAGACAGTTAAAGGTAAGATAAAGCATTGACATAAAGTATCATTTATAAATGAAGTGTTTTGACTCCTACAAAAATATATCTCATCACCAATTTACATGAAACACTTAGGAAAGAGGAACATACTAACAATACTATAGAAATCTCATCAGCAAAATCCATTTTATTACTATAAAGCTTAAAATTGTAACTATTAAGTAAAACTTTTGATACTCAAACACATTTACAGTCAATGCCATTTTATTTTCTAGAGTTATTTGTATAAAAGGCAAAATGCAAAAAACTGTACTTAAGATATCTGAACTTTTAAACTTAGTGAAAGTCACTCAGTCGTGTCTGACTCTTTGTGACCCTATGGACTATACAGTCCACGGAATTCTCCAGGCCAGAATACTGGAGTGGGTAGGCTTTCCCTTCTCCAGGGTTTAAGCTTAAAACTCCTAGTTAATTTTCACAATGTCATAGTTAAACAAATAATAATCTGTTTCTAATAATCTACTCCAACTTCATAATTCAGTTCAGTTCAGTCGCTCAGTTGTGTCTGACTCTTTGCGACCCCATGGACTGCAGCACGCCAGGCCTCCCTGTCCATCACCAACTACTGGACTTTACTTAAACTCATGTCCATTGAGTCAGTGATGCCATCCAACCATCTCATCCTCTGTCATCCCCTTCTCCTCCTGCCTTCAAGCTTTCCCAGCATCAGGGTCTTTTCAAATGAGTCAGCTCTTCGCATCAGGTGGCCAAAGTATTGGAGTTTCAGTTTGCTTCAACATCTGTCCTTCCAATGAACACCCAGGACTGATCTCCTTTAGGATGGACTGGCTGGATCTCCTTGCAGTCCAAGGGACTCTCAAGAGTCTTCTCCAACACCACAGTTCAAAAAACATCAATTCTTCGGTGCTCAGCTTTCTTCACAGTCCAACTCTCACATCCATACATGACTACTGGAAAAACCATAGCCTTGACTAGACGGACCTTTGTTGGCAAAGTGATGTCTCTGCTTTTAATATGCTGTCTAGGTTGGTCATAACTTTTCTCCCAAGGAGTAAGCATCTTTAATTTCAAGGCTGCAGTCACCATCTGCAGTGATTTTGGAGCCCCCCCAAAATAAAGTCTGTCACTGTTTCCACTGTGTCCCCATCTATTTGCCATGAAGTGATGGGACCAGATGCCATGATCTCAGTTTTCTGAATGTTGACTTTTCAGCCAACTTTTTCACTCTCTTCTTTCACTTTCATCAAGAGTCTCTTTAGTTCTTCTTTGCCTTCTGCCATAAGGGTGGTGTCATCTGCATATCTGAGGATACTGATATTTCTCCCTGCCATCTTGATTTCAGCTTGTACTTCATCCAGCCCAGCATTTTGCATTATCGACTCGGCATATAAGTTATATATATATATTGATATTTCTCCTGGCAACAACTTCATAATTATGCTTGATCAATTACCAGCCACTCTAACATGGGTTGTAGGTTTCCCAGGTGGCTCAGTGGTAAAAGAATCCGCCTGCCAATGCAGGAGACCCTGGAGACACAGGTTTGATCCCTGGATGGGAAGTTCCCCTAGAGGAGGAAATGGCAACCCATTCCAGTATTCTTGCCTGAAAAATTCCATGGACAGAGCAGCCTGGTGGGCTACAGTCCATGGGGTCAGAAAGAGTCAGACATGACTAAGCGTAAGCACTATTAACATGAGTTACAGCAAATAAATAAGATTAACATTGGTATCAGGTTCCCCAAATTAAATAATACATGAACAAAGTCTCTGCATATTTAAAATGACCAAAAGTTTAAACTTCTGCTAAAGACACACTATATCTATAAATGGCAATAAAACATTGAATTTATTAATATTTATAACCATATTTTTTATAATTTTATATGATATGCTTGCTCTGCACAGTAAGGGATTTAAGAAATTAAATAAAAAGGTGCTATGGGTACCTAAATTAAAATCCATAATTATTTGTGAAAAAATTCATTTGTCAGAAAGATGATAAGTATTTTTAGTACCTGAGTCATGAAAATTTAAAAGGTCAAGGCTTCACATTTTAAAACTGTACACAAATATAATGAAACAAAGTAGTAGAAATACCTACTTTGCAGCTTTCTCTCCTCAGTATGATGCAATAATATAGTTAAAACACACCCAGCACTCTCCTTTGCTCATAATAAATACCTTCTAAAATGGGAAACTGCTCCATTTTTACATACCTTGACATAGATCACAGGGAGCGTCTGTTTGGCTCGACTATAGTGTCTGGCAACTCTGTAGACTGTTTCCGGAACATAGTCCAGCACCAGATTAAGATAGACCTCATCTTTCTGAAAGAGTTTATTAAAAACAAACCAAAAAAACAAAATTAGGAACTAGTCTTTAAATATTCAAATTAGAGTAAATTCTCTATACATTCACTTATTTGGATTTTTAAAGCAAAGATTCATGTGTTCAATTTTAATTATAAAAAATAAATTCAGAATATAACCATAATAGCAAAAACAAATCTACCACATTTTTTTAAACTAACAATTTCATGGCAAAAACAGTCATTTCAATACTGGTACAATTTCTAATTACATTTAAACTATTATTTTGGTTATACAATTTTAGAGGGTATCACCTGTCATAAAATTTAGTATTTTCTAGTTTGAGAATCATGGCCCTCACCTCATATCCTATCAGGAAAGGTGTCACAGTAGTAGAGTAAGCACTGAACTGGGATCTAAGAGATGGGCATTGTTAACTGATGCATGCAAGTCATTTAATCTGTATATGCTTCCATTCCTTCAACTATAACATGAAAAGCTGGACTTCAAAATTTCTTTAACCTTACAAAAAGATTTTATAGTCATTTATAGCCTATAGTTAGTAAAATAACCACTTGTCTTCTACAATTAACTGAACAAAAACAAAAGAATAACTTATAAGGCACTAAGTTATCATACTCACAAGAATACTACAAGTCTTATGTTTAAACATCCATTCACAGCAGCATAAAGACACCAATCCAAGATCAGTGGAAAGAAAGAAGGGAATTCCAACTAAGTACCAAGGAGGAAAGAAGAACAGAGTGCTACCTTCACCATGTTCATGTGAATATCAGATAAGCAAACTGAAGCAGAACACAAAGCTGAGAACTCTGTGTTAAAGTCCAGAACTGGTTACTGAGTGGGAAAATCTGCAGGCAAAACTTTACAATCTTCCCAGTTTGAAGTCATCTTATCTAACAAACTAAAGTGGAGAATTTCAATTTTCAGCATTTATTATGTCAGCAGTCACTGCAGAGGAAGGAAGGAAGGAAGGAAGGGTGCAGATATAAGACATATCATCTAAATTCAGTATGAGAGGGCATTTCAGGAAGACAGAAAACTACATTCAAGATGTGGGGGGTCAAAGAACACAACAGATCTCAGGAAACAGTTAGCATGCCATTTACCTTTACACTTTTACACAGTCTTTCATGTTCTCCTCTCTTTCCTCCATACCTAGCTTAAAATCCATGGTCCAGCATTACCCTTACTTTCTAACAAACGACTCGGTAAACAACAGCAAAGCCCTGCTCCCTGTTTTTATAACTCTTTTTTCATCCTCACCTTCAGCTTATAACCTTGCTTGCACCACTACATGTACCCAATTTCCAGCTTCTGTCCCCATATACTTTTCCTTCACTACTCTAACTAGAGATAAGCTGACCAAGCCCCTTTCTAAGCCAAACTCTGCGGCATGTAAACAAACTACTCTGCTCTTCCTATTCATACTCATTGCTTTAGTAATGTTTTTTCTGTCAATTATTCTCTTTTTGTGAGAGCATTACATGCTATTATTTCTCCTATCATTAAAAAAAAAACTTTCTCTCTAATCGCACTGATCACCACCATCCTATTTTCTGGCACCTTTTAACAACAAAATTCTTCAGAAAAGGGGTCTAAATTGACTTTCTCCAATACCTGGCTTTTCTCCTTCTAAAACTTACTCCAATTGAATTTCACCACCACTATTCCCTCAGAATTATTCATCAAGGTCAATAATCTCCTTGTTGCTGTATTCAATGCCAATTTTCAGACATCATCTTCCCCCTCTCTTATACCTGACTTAGCAATGATCTGAAATAATCGATCATGTTCCCTTCTTTGAAATACTTGCTTCAGTTGGATTTTAGAACACTATGCTCTTTTGGCTTTCATCCTATCTTAAGGACAGTTCTCTGGCTCTCTATTTCTTCTATTCTTTATCTCTTAAGGAACAGAGGATTCTAAGGCTCAGTCCTCAGATCTCTGTTCTTTGAGTAAGCCCACTCATCCAGTCGAACGGCTCGGTATTACTAAATACTGATGACTTCCAAATTCATATGTCTCCTGGACCTCTGCCTTTAAGGATATATTCTCCATGCTAGTATATCCAATATGTACTTGACACTGTTCAGGCTAAAAACCTTAAAATCATCATTTCTTCTCCACTCTCTGCTTTCTCCCAAACATATACATACATTCCCATATGAAAAGAATCTAATGGTTCTATCTGTAAAATTTATCCAGGATCCCAACCACTACTTACCACCTTTACTGTTACAACCCTGGTCTGAGCTACTCTGAACTCTCATCTGGATTACTGCAATATCCTCCTAAACGGTCTCCCTGCTTCCAACTCCAGCCCTATACAATCCAACATCAATAAAATATAAAGTAGGTTGTATCTCTTCTACTCCACTTCATTAAGATTTATTCTTTACAGATAAATGGTCTACAAGGTCCTACACACACACTTCCTTACTTCCCTCTGCTCACTCCTCTCTGGAGACAAGAGCTTCCTGCTGTTTGTTGAACACATTTGGCAGGCTCTGGCATTCAGGGCCTATGAACTGATCAGTCTTTCAGTCTGGATGTTCTTCCTCAGATATACACACAGCTCACTCTATTCAACTCCTTCAAATTTTTGCTCTAGTGTGACTTTTAGAGTAGCTTTCCCTAGTTCTCCCATTCCAAATTGTAACCCATTCCTCTACCCCCATTTCCCATCTTCATCATTTTCCCAAGGATACTTATCACTTTCTAACCAGAGTTTACTTTTTATTGTTGACTTCTGCCCCACGAAGACTAAGCTCCACGAAGGGAAAGATTTTTGTTTGTTTTGTCCTCTGTTCTATCTTCACCTAGAATAGCGTCCAGCACACAGTAGGTATTCAAAAAATACTTGCTGAATAAATGAAGATCAGAGGGAATGGATATTACCTAAAAATTAGAATGATGGTCTGCCAAGTTTTAACTAAACAACCCTAACAAAAATGGGTATGGAGAAGGTGGAAACTGGGAAAATGAGAATCAAAGTAGCATGAGCAGCTGGAAACCTATAAGAATCCAAGGCCTGGACCAGGACACAGGCAATAAGGATTTTTTTTAAAATGAGGCATGGGCATATGACCCAGCAATCCCACTCCTGGGCATACACACTGAGGAAACCAGATCTGAAAGAGACACGTGTACCCCAATGTTCATCACAGAACTATTTATAATAGCCAGGACATGGAAGCAACCTAGATGCCCATCAGCAGACGAATGGATAAGGAAGCTGTGGTACATATACACCATGGAATATTACTCAGCCATTAAAAAGAATTCATTTGAATCAGTTCTAATGAGATGGATGAAATTGGAGCCCATTATACAGAGTGAAGGAAGCCAGAAAGATAAAGACCAATGCAGTATACTAACGCATATATATGGAATTTAAAAAGATGGTAACAATAACCCAATATGCAAAACAGAAAAAGAGACACAGATGTACAGAACAGACTTTTTGACTCTGTGGGAGAAGGTGAGGGTGGGATGTTCAGAAAGAACAGCATTGAAACAAGTATACTATCAAGGGTGAAACAGATCACCAGCCCAGGTTGGATGCATGAGATGGGTGCTCAGGGCTGGTGCACTGGGAAGACCCAGAGGGATGGGATGGAGAAGGAGGCGGGAGGAGGGATCAGGATGGGGAACACATGTAAATCCATGGCTGACTCATGTCAATGTATGGCAAAAACCACTACAATATTGTAATGTAATTAGCCTCCAATGAATAAAAATAAATGGAAAAAAAATAAATAAAATGAGGCATGGGGCAGGTATACTGTATACTGGCTAGTTAAACCAGACAGTAATAGAGAATCTGAGAAACAAACAAGTTTGGATTAACTTAGCAGTCTCTAAACTTGGGCAATTAGGCAGGTAATGAGATAAGGAACATAGAAAGAGCAAAAAGGTGTGAGGGAAAAGTTAGTTGAACTTTTACTTAATGGATATGAGAACATTTTAGGTAGCTATGTTTCACAGGTGACTGGAAATACCTAGATGGTTGGTCAAGTCAAATTCAGAAAACAAGAGTAGAGCATAGTTAGAGGCTCAGGCAATAGCTGAAACTGTAAGAACAGAACCACTCACTCAAGAGCAAGGAAAGGAGTATAAGATCCTTGAAACTTAAGAAGCAGGAGACCTTAGGGGGACAACTCAGCAACAAGAACTAAGAGACATAAAAGAGCAAGTGAAGACTAGCATCGAAAGACCCACAGTTGAGTTTTAATAATCCTGAGATGGGGAACAGCAAAGTGTTTCAATAGCAGGAAGGATACAACTGAAAAGGCTTCTGAATCTTGTATAAAATGGTTCAGTGATGGTGCTGGAAAGAGTAGTTTCAGTCCATGGTGCCAGTAGCAACCAACCTGTACTGAGTTCAAGAATGAACAGATGGCAGGTGAGAAATAGGAGGCAGTTAATCTAGTTTGTCCTTACAAAATCCCTACTGGTGAAAGGAGAGAACTGGTAACTTGAGGGGAAATAGAAGTCAAATACAAAATTTTAATGTGCTGTTTGTTTGTACTTTTTAATGGCTAAGAGACCCAAATTTATTTATAAGCTAGGTGGATAAAAATAGAATAAAGTTTTAAGAAAGGAAAGGGATAACTGATGAAACAAGGTTCTAGAACATGACAAGAGGAAATCCAAAACTCAGAGAAGGTATACTCTGTAATAATTAAGGGGAAAGGTTAGCATGAGTCATACAAACTACACAGAAGTCCCAACTCTGCTACTACAAGTTATGTGACCACAGCAAGTTACTTTACCGCTTGAAGCCACAGTCCACTATAAAAGTGCTGCTAATGATACATACTTTATAAAAGACTGTTATGAAATTCTAAGAAATGACCCATATACAGCTCTCAAAGCATCTTACCTGGCACAGAATAAAGATTTAGTTTTAACTATTATCAATTTTAAAAAGAAACACATTTTTTTCTGTACATCTAAAATAAGTGATTAGGTGTTAGGGAGAATAAGTAAAA